ATCGTGCACATAATAACTTTGTAAACAATATATATTAATTTAATTCATTCTTAAAATGTCGCATATTTCGGTATAGTTTTTGATTTCTCGTGTTCGCTGCAAACGCATTTTAATCAGTTGAAAAAATATATTAGTGTTGTTCGAAGTTGTAAAGAACTTTACGAAAATATCATAATTGAATAATGGTCACCTACACAATTGAGGAGGCCACAGCTGATTGCTATATATAGAGATAAGTTAATCGTTAATAAAAAATATATTGTAGAGATAAGACACTGCCATGTTACTATTTACTGATTTCATACGTGGTAATTGCACGTTATGTGAGAGTTACCAGCACTTATTGAAAAGTTGGCTAGGTAAGTAAATATTTTATTTTCAGTATTTTATGTTCCCACGTTTTATGTACGTACAATAGAATAAATATAAAAAAAATATTATAGAGTTTGTTTATTCGTAAGCTACTGGGACAGTATTTTGTTGAAACATAAGTATTTTTTTATTATCTACGCTTTTGAAACCAAACTAATTGTAAAAGTGGTAATTATGAACTTCATAAAACTTATGTGTTTATAATATTCTAAATATGTATTGTATTCATTATTTATGCTATCTTTATAATATTCCATGTTTTTATAGTAGTATGAAAGTTTAAATGTTTATTTTGATATTAGGAAAGCGATTTCAATGTTTGATTTAAGTTTTACTATTTTATGAATACATTACATGTTTTAAAATATAAGCGAAAAATAATAAATTTATATGAACCTATAATGAAGCAACATTCTTGATATTTTCAAATATTTTTTTGTATATACCTATTTTTATTGAATTAATTTTACAATTATTACCGGAAAAGTTAGCAAAAGTTGTGCAAAAGTGATTGAACTTAAACAATAATTACAAATTCAAATTTTAAAAGGTGCTTTTCGATTTATACGTATTTCATACATATTTAAAAATAAGACAAAATGTAGAATAATATTTTTTCATTTAAGACTCTATTTTCGAGAAAAATTAGATTGAAAAAATAATATTATTGAATAGGAATCAACGGGCGGGTCTGGCCATGATACACCAATTCTACTTCTCGGCATACGAACGTGATTGTACAAGCCATGCGAACTTGACGCATCTTTCAACTCATATTGTTCTTTTCTTTTGTCTTATTTTTCTGTGTAGAATGTCCCCCCTTCCGACTGTGTCATCAGTTACTGACCACCCTGTGTAAATTTGGTATACAATGTAGTAATTAAATAGAGACATTAACAAAACGTACCATTTTTAATGACCATTTATTGATAATTTAAAGAAATAAGTATATCTAAAACTCTGGTTATAATAGTATTCGGCTAATTGTTAAATATATTTATTATCCCGAATTTCATCTTGAAAAATATCTACGAATCATTTCGTTAAGAATGACTGAAACTTAAAATTTTTGTAATATTCGCGGATTTCTAACTTTTAGGAGTTGCACTTTAATTCAATCAATCGAATTACTTAAGTTTAACAATTGTAAATATAAAATTCAATTTACGTATATATAGGTATATATTTACGTAAAATAATTTGTATAATTTATAAATGTGGTCAACTTTGAGGATCTGTACTTTAAAGGAAGGATACTCGTGTAAAAGCTGTATTATAAGTGATTTTTTTCAAATTCTTCTTGAACATTTGTTTAATGTTGTCTTCGTTTATTTTATTGGACAGCGTACAATCACGTTAATTTGTTTAACGTGTAAATCCTTGTTCGTGAGATATATAGATCCCATCATAGTCATGTGAATGTAAAAAATTAATACATTTCTTACACTTAGATCGTTTACGCTGAGGTTTAACCAACTTACAAAAAGAAGCATGAAAAATTGACTTTATATTGTTAAGAAAAATGTTATATTAATATCATTTTTATAGTATGTAGTAATAACGAATGTACTAATAACGAATACGCTGAACTTTGTTCAGTTTGATCGGTCAATTAGTTTTTAAGTTATCCGTGACGGAGGTTTAGAAAATGTGGTTTCAGGAAATAGTGTTTAAATTAGTGTTTCGAACTCTATCGCATTACTTTAAATGGTATCTTGTTACGAATCTGAAAATTTCTTCATGCAAAGGAATAAAACTTGATTTTTTAAACCTGTTACATGAGAATATTCTTTTCACTATTCCAAAACGAGAAAAGTCATAACTAAACGTCCTTTTGCTTCGCCTGTTCTTATGCAGATTACGACATATTTCAATGTATATGTAATTGTAAATTTCAAATTCAGTGAAGTTTTATATCCAATTGGTGGACTCGTTAAATTATTCAAGGATACATAGATTCGCCTTATGCTCAAGTTTCTTATTTAAAGTAAACTGATGTGTGATACTTATTTTAAAAAAATGAATAAAACAGTTATTATGGCGGGGGATAGTTCCGAAGTATAAGAAAGTTCTCGTAAAAAGTACAAATTCACTAGATCTTGTCCATTAACTATAATCAATTATGTTCTCGTGATTTTGCACATATAAACATCAGTGCATTAAAAAGAGAATTTATATACAAAGAGATAGGTTTATATAAAATTGATATGCTTTAGATAAAATCTTAGAAACAGGTTAAAAAATCACATTACAATATTTAGTGATAAGAAAATATCGACTGTTCTAAATGTGTTGCAGTATTATTTTTTTCATTCTTTATTGCATTTTAATATCAAACGAACTAGGTAACCTTGGTAATTGATACAGTTGTTTTCACAAGTTACGAGTAAGTACCCTGCGTATCCAAGGTACAATATAAATATCTAATAAAACGTACACATAAAAAATAATAATTATGTTTAGTTATAATACAAGTTGGACCAATAACATTGACCACCTTGAATATCTCCATTATTTTTAAAGATATCCAGAAGTTTTTTTATGTAAAAGTTGTATGGTATGTTTGGAAGATTTCAAGGTCATCTTCATTTTTTTAAATACCATATTTATACTTTTCTGTTCCTACAAAAACTATGACTGGTTAGACGCTTTTAATAATGGCGTCAGAGTAAAATACAGAAGTTTACATTATAGAAAATGCTCTTAGTGATTCTTATCAATGCAATCTGCAATTTTTAGATTATTACCATACAACTTTTATAAGTTTCTCTATATCCTTAAAAATATCGGAAATATTCAAGGTAGTCAAAATTATTGGTTTACCATGTTGATAAAAAAGATAATTC